GCTATGTTACCCTCCTACCATAATCAGTTTTTTAAATACATTGCATAGAAATAATCAATTGAAAAAACCGCACTAACTCTTGGTTGCCTAACATAATCTCTACATTTGTTTACATATTTATTCACAAAATCGATGCACCAAAACATGTTATCAAGACGAACAATATAATAGTTGGTTCTTATTACAGGACTGCAACACTTGCAAATGGCCAACAGCATTACTGCAACAGAGGCGACTACCACATTCCTACACAAAGAAGAATTTTTCCGTAAAGTGAAAAAGGCTTTTAGTTCTATTAATTCAAGAACTTGGCTCCTCAAGCACTACACAACGGAATGTGAAACTGTGAATAAGCTCTTCCACGAGATATCTGTTATTACGACATACTCTCAAGCTTATTCGCCGCCGTATCGAAAGATAGTGGTAGAATCAGTAAACGATACCGGACTAATATCAGCGGTGAACAAGTATTTTTCGTTATTGAGTCGATTACAAGCTAGTGTATCCACTGTTATAAACCCTAGTTTTTAGTACGCACAGCACATCCTTCTAACTTGGCCTCCTATTTTCTTGCCAAACCACATTGGATGACAATAATGCCACCCTTCGATCCTCCGAAAATGCTATTAACAGTATTTATGTTAGATCACCTTTAAGTCTGAACCTTTTCCGTCAGTAATAGACCTAAGCCTTATGTCTCCCAAGCGTGCAATAAGCTATGGAAACCAAGAAAATGTGCTTCCAAAGAATGAGGCTTTTCAAATTCTCACAGCGTCATCTTGAGCGATCAAGGTGCTGTTGCTAACATTAGAAAATCTCATTTTCAAACCTCGTCTTAAGGGAAAGTGAAAAAAAGCGATTTTGCGTGAGTATGAGATTTCTACGGCGGTTACTGGACTTGAGTCAATTATTGTTCAAACATGTAGACCTAAGATGTTCGTGATTATATATCATCTGCGCACAACCTTATGTACATGCAACAGGTGCAATAACATTGCGTATGCAGGCAAGGAGGAACTTATGGCACGGCATATTCCAATACACTTCGTCAGCACATATTCGTGTCCCCGGAGAGTTGCGTCCACATTGGCCGTTGGAATCCTGTGAAATTCGACGAAAGCATACTTGTAAGAGATCAATTTTGAAGTTGTTTTGATTCTCGAAAAAAACTTGGAACGAAGTTCCATAGTTCTATCGATAGCCTGGTAAAGATTGAAAACCATTCTGACCACTGCGCCCTTCCACATCGAAGGCCACAGGTCAGCTTAAGAAAGATATTGTTGATCAGGGAGCTTCTAACGGCTCTGGCTTCAGAGATAGCTATTTTTCTCAGTGCTGACAACCAGCAAGGGGCACTTTGGTATATGTACCTGCAGTGGAATACACTGAGAAAGAGAATCACTCGCAATACGATTACAGCAAAAGTAGGAAGCACCAAGAACCCCAGCTTTGCGACCTCACTCACTGCTTACGAGCCTATTACCGTTAAAACCCTAAGAATCCTTGAAGTGATCCGACAGTGACCGTGACACGACGCAGTCCTTTGCTGAAAGCAGGGAACATGACAGAAGATTAAACTTACATGCGAACGGAACATTCAAGGGAATCGTGATCTCAAACTCTCAGAAGAAAAAATAATTTTCTTATCTTGAATTGCTATTACGATCGTGTTGTTGCGTCTTCATGACAATAGGTGTAAATCTCAGTCGCAAAAGGTCGCGTGTCCCGTGTGCGATGCGATTCCATAAATGTCGGCGAAAGAAACGCAGCACACTTTACCTTTGGTCTCCATACCATGCCAAATTCTGGGCTGCAAGTATTTTGTTCGATTGTCCAGCTTAGCTGCTATGCAATAACATTACATAGACCTTTAGATAAAATTTTGCTTCAATTCCATTTTTCGCTTTACTTTTTTCTTTATTTTTTTACCTTTTTCCAAACTTTCGAGCTGGAGGCGACTGTGCGAGGGCACACCACGGCACTGAGCGAGAAAGATGAAGAGCAAACTGTCTGACAAAATAGCAGGTCCAGATCCGCTGGTAAAGCGTCCGCATACGATTTTTGGTGTTTGTTGCCTCCAGCGAAGTCGTGGACTTCCCACCTATGCCCAACTCTCGTCTCATGCCTTTCTTCTCTCTCTTCTCTCCTCCCTATCTCTTCAATCACAGGCTGGCGTCTAAGACTTGGCCGAACATAAAATGGAGACAAAACGAATCGCCCAACTAGGGAGGATCTATTAGTCACTGGATAGCATTTGAAGTGGCGAATCGAACAGCGCTTACTGCTGCGTTACTGAAGATTCTCCATATTCCTTTCTACCATGCACGTCACTGATTTCCGAGAAATGGTTCAATTGCCCCACCAGATCTGGCTTGCTAGTTGACAGAAAGAGAGATGAGGGAAACAGGAGTTGCCTGAATTGTTTTTACAAGGATATTGAGTTCTGGACAAAGCTTTAGAGAGCCAGATCAGGCCCAATTCACAGCTAGACGGTCCCTTGTACTACTCGCAGGGAGTCCGTTAAAAAAGATTTCGATCCAAATCAAGTAGGGAGCTTAAGTTTGCATGACTGGTATCCTTGTCATGGCATGGCATGACTGGCAGCCAGCTGGATAATATCTTCCACATACGGAAGGAGCAACTGACGAAGCGAGCATATGTTTGTATTACTTCTGCTCATCAAAATGGTTACAGTGGAGAGAATAGAGAAAATTTATTGAATAAATTATCATCCATATCGGCAATCTATCCACGCTGTTGGATACGGCGGATCTTAGCGGCAGCTCGTCTTTGGTTTTTGCGGTGGCGGCGAGCGTGGGCACGGCGTTTCTGAGCAGCACGTCTCTGGTTGCGGCGAAGACGACGAAGGAAACGCTGAAAAATGTCAGTGACTCGATGTTGTCAATGCCAGTAACCACTGACGCACCCTTCTGGCTGCACGAGCGCGACCGGCACGACGACCACGTCGGCGAACGGCACGTTTCACACGGGTCGACTCCTTGACTTCCTACAAAAAGAGAGTATTCGTTTCTAGAACTACTTTTTGTAACTCCCACTTGTGAGTGTCTAATAAAAAGGTAACTATCGTCTACCTCAAGTTTATCTGCTTCGTCTTCCTCCTTATCAAGAATTTTGCTAATCTGAAAATAATGGAGAATGTCTTCTTTGGAGTGTTCTCATATAATTATGAGCATTGAACTTACCAGAGCTCTCTCGTTCTCATCATCAATGGCAGCGAGAGCGTCTTCTTCTTCTTTTCTAAGCTCTTGAAGCTGGTTCAAAACAGCCAGTCCCTCCTCGCTGAGTTCCTTCTGTAAACACATACATCAGTAAAATGATCACAAGAGGAGTACGGCAGAATATTCCGAAAGGAGACAGCGTCATACTTTCTGCTCTTCGGCGAATGCAATGGCAGAAATTGCCAGAAGTCCAACGGCTAGAAATACTGCTTTCATCTGAAAAAAGGATGAACTTTTATCTGACAAACTGGTCATTGCAAGCTGATTAAGTAGTAGAAGCTTACCGTGGAAGCTTGAGTGCCTGCTGTCATTCTTTCAGCTCCTTCTTTTATAGCAAAATGAACAAGCATGAAAATCGCATAATTGCTGACCGCCTACGTTATCTTTTGGTACAGGAAAACCCGTCCTGAATTCGGCCTTGAGGCGATCAAGTCTGCGCCGACGTTGGATCTCTCTCGGTAATCGTGATCCGATCCTTATCGCTGCGTAACCAATTTTTCAGCTTATACAAAATTAGCCAGTTTATGCCGTGTACAACAAAGAGAATAGAACCCACACGAATAGTTAGGAAGAACCACTTCGTTACTCGATACTCTCACAATAAAACAGTTCAAGCAGTTAGCGTGCTGCTTACAACTTAGTAACATTGGCTAGCCCATACATCCTTTCCCGTGATGAGCTTATATGTTAAACGCAAATACATGCATATAACAGTCTGCAAAGAATATGTCTCCTAGGAAAAGCTCGAAAAAGTGTAAATCAATAAACACGACAACATATTACCAACATATTGTACTTCATAACAGAAGAGACTCGAGCAAAATTGACGGAAAAATTCCAAATCAATGAGCATTCCTGATGCCATTACCTAGGTTGGGTAGAGTTAGAACGCATCTTCTTTGCGAACAAGGCCTAAATCTCCTTGACATCCATAGAGCAATAGTACATGATCCGAAACACCAATTACATCGCCTTTTTTTAACATTCAAGAATTGGTTCGCTTTGGATATACAATTCAAGGCGGAAGAATTATGCCAAAAGGAGTAGCTCCATGGTTCAAGGATCACAACTCTTATAAGAGTCGTCGGTCACCAGAATGACAACCGGCTTGTCCGGAGGACCGAAAGACTTTTATCTGCTTTATGTTACTGTATGGAAAATGCAATTTAAAGACTGCGTTTTTTAAAATAATCTGGAAACAAGCGCAATATGGAAATGCAATGGTTCTCAAAAGAGACTCAGTTGTTGCCTGGAGCTTATCCCCTATTTTTCCAAAAATTACTCTCACGGCAACTGCGACTTCCTACACCTACTTACTTTCCAAAGTTTTTTCAAAACAAAAGTGTTGTCTGGGTCGGAATGGAGAAAGAATCGAGCTTATCTGTAAAAGGTGAAAAGACAACTGTTGGGTATCGGATAACTATATTTTAAATTTTTGGTAAAATAAGTCTCAAGTTTTTGAATTTGACCAATCCCTTTTCTGGGATGCGCCCCGGATTGAGCTTTCACAAAAAATCGTTGGGGAGCATTGAATGATTACGTGATCTATACAGTGATCTGCGGTGCACAGCCGATGTACAGGTCAGTACTTTTATATTACCGTACGAGTCTAGAACTCATCCTCCAACCCCGGAAAGAAGGAATCTCTGGTTGGTCTACACGGACACAGATTCAGAATTTGATTCCCGGAGCATGCGCTTTTGATGGTGAGTCACTTGCCATTACATCACTTCGACCCCAATTAAGTTTTGGATAATACAATAAAATATGATTCTTGGATATATTTGAGTACACAAGAGTGTGTATCCAAAAATGACAGGGATAAACTGCATCGCTTTTCACCGCAGTTATATACGAATACTGTGCTCAATCCTGTGCTAGTTAGTTACCAAAGGAAAACAGACGGCAATGGTACTCATCGCATGTTTTAAGCACTAAAATGAAAAGTCAGCCAACAGTCGAGATCTGTCATTGTTCATGTCTACCACAAGTCACAAATGGAGGGCGTCCTTCATAATATCCAGCTATGATCTCATCTGAGAGCGTAGATCTCTGTTAGGTGTATTGTCGCAACTTTTCTCTATTGAACACTCGGTGGAGATTAAGGCGATGATGTGGAGTCGAGGTGAAAAGATTTATTGATGAAGACCAGCTGAGTAAAAATGGCACTCTGGCGAACTAGTGAGAGTGACGGGTTTATATAGTTCTTGACGTGGTCCAATATGATGTTCAAACAGCAGTAACATCAGATTAAAACCTAGAAAATGACACCCCACATGTATTCTGTATTTGACTTTGGTAGGTCACAGCCTGTAGGTATGCTTGCGGAGTTGAACGTACTGCAGCTCCTGTGTTATCGGGTTGAGTGCAGTTGTATCTTTGTCTGGTATCGGCTGATCTCTGATGAGAGCATGTTCTTTATGGAGCAGAAGTGGGCTTAACACGTATAGTAAAAGCGGCTGTCACATGGCCTCGGTTGAGTGATGGGTCTTGTCCATGTACCCTTCCTCAGCATACAAAATCCATGACGTTTCTGAAGCGTCGAGTGATGATGACAGACAGCATTGTCCCTTCGAACTAGCAAGGTATGGCTCCTCGATGTGTGTTGAGCTGATCCATGATGTCATAACGTCCCAACTCTTGCCTTGTGAGGATGGCATCATCAAATCTAGTTCAGTCCGAAGCCGGCGGCTAAAAGGCATCCAGCGGGCAACAGATTACTTGGTCCGAATGGGCACGGCGTCTTTGGCCATTAGAAGGCCGAAGTGCCTATGGCATAGACTGCTCTCCTTCAATTTGGCCAAATGTCTCTAGGACGTATTCACGAAGCGCTCTGCATGTCTATCGCCTCGCGGATAAAAAGTAAGAGATCTTGCTTCTGAAGTAAACTGGTTGCCGATTTTCAGTGATGGGCATCTGCAGATTCCTCGACTGTGCGAAGACTTGTGCCCGAACCTTGACTGTTGCCGACAAAAAGATTCAATTCATGTGAATGATTTCTGTCTATTTTGTACACAAAAATCAACAGTCGTGAAGTAGGTAATGGTGGAATGCACCACTGAATAGCACGTACGAAAAGAATGAAGGCAAGTTTATTACAAAAAAAAAGAAACAACAGAACAATAAACACAGTGCAACGGCAAGAAATTACAACTAAGGGTCAGATGAAATCCTACAGATCCCTTGGCTCCTCGGGTTAGTCGAAGAGAGAGAGTGCGTTCCGGCGATCCTTTTTCTGAACACACTCGTACTGGTTCCCGTGTCGTGTACTACCAAACCCACTTGTCCCTGAGATATACCTAGGGACCTACGCTGGTTTCGAAATTTCGGCCACTAGGGCTACTACACTATTCTTGCCACTTAGGCTAGATCTGGCCGCTAAGGCCCTCCGATTATCTGGGTCACCTAGACCCCTGAGTTACGGTCACACAGGCCCTCAATGAAAGATCGTTCACGAAGGTCTTAAAAGGATGAACCGGCCACACAGAGAATATCAGAGATGAGGGGAGACCTCACCTCAGACGAGCAAACGAGTCGAATACGCAATTTACTGAGCCATGCGATACCTTCGCTTCCCCGCGCGATCAGTCTCTGACCTCCTATGATCATAAGTACGCCTTGCGTTTAGGGGGTCGCGTCCGTGCAGTCTCTCTCTTCGGCCCTTGCCGACATTTTAGAGAATGCATCCATCTGAGAGCCAACAGCTCCATCTTTGTTTGGTCTGGATTAGCTCTGTGAAGAGTTTGAAGGTGGCCAGTGGCATTCGAGGAACTTTGTGATCACGAAACTTCTTGGCGCAACAAGCACAAGTCAGTAGTTGATAGAGTCTCTCGTCGACTGTAGTATGTCCACGAAGGTGAGCCACATTTCATTTTCGACCATTCCCCAAATCGAATGTAATCGATAACTTGAGTCAGAGTATGGTCGGCAGTAGTTGCAGTTTGGGTAGTTGACTGTCGATTATTTCGACGGAAACATCAGCGTCAATAGAAGTGTCTATATATTCAAAAGAATAAAGTCTGATAAGTCGTGGAACTCCTAAAAATTGGCTTTTCTGAACTTTTATCGATGCAGTGAATGGTGAAGTTGTGGTTCAGCGACGTAGTAGCCCATCGTTAAAGAAGATTGGCGGTGCACATTAGATCTCCTTTTTGAGTTCGTGGAATAGAAGTAAGCGATTGTGGTCCGTCTCCAGCGTGAAGCGAATTCCATGTATAGAGCGATGAATTTTTTTAGACTGCAAAAAACGATGAATAAGGTTTCCCTCTCAGTCTAGTACTTCTTCTGTATCGGCGATACAGCACGACTAGGATAGTAAGCAGCTTTTTCGGATTTGTTGAGAAATCTGTGCGACGATGCAGCTCCAACTCTGTAGTTGGAAACGTCTGCAGCAGCGACAAGCGGCAGAGAAGCGTCGTAGCGCGCCTGAAGGAGGTCTGATTCGATAAACTTGCTGATTCGTTCGGAGCACGGTTGACATTGTTGTGGCCGTGAAGACGACATCGTTTTTTGAGGGGCGCTTAGATTGCGCAGTTCACGGACAGATCCCGTTCTAGTTGATCAACTCGTGGCAGGCTCTAAGTTGACAGACGTTTTTGGTTCTGGCAATCTCTTGATTGCTTCGTTCTTGACTGGGTCTACACGCCGTCCATCAGCATTTATTATAAAGGTAACGAATTCCGGTGAGCAATAGCGAGCACTTTTCCAAGCGAAAGCGGGATCCAGCTCTCTAATTCCTTTGGAAACTGTTTCTAGACGAGAGTTGCGCTCATCGAAAATTTCTGCAGGGACACCGATATGGTCGAGGTACGCTGCAGTAAAACCCAATCCTGCAATCAGAGTCTCCATTTGCTGCTGAAAAATTGCCGCAGCGGCCTCCACCCCACGAGGTAATCGATTGAGACGATAGAAATCACCATGTCGTTTGATCGGGAGGAGCTGACGTGATTCCTTATCCATTTCCCTCCGTAGGTGCGCTTTGGCTAGGACAAACTGGAAGAAGTACCTACCTTTTTGAGCTGTGCAAAGATATCGCTTGGAATCGGAAAAGGGTAATGATGCTGCTTGAGAATACAAATGAGCCCACAGAGACGAATGATCCAACCCCCTTCTGGACGACGATCACCTAGGTGGCTCACTCGGAGTGTTTGAACGGTATCAGAACGTTCAAAGCTATTAGGTGGTCGATTTCTTACTGGTCCGGCGCTGGACAGCATATGAACTGGACAGCCTTTCAGCAGACAGGAATCGCATCCGACTCGAGCTTTAGAGGAACTTTCGTTTCTGTACAGCATCCCAATTCTGGTGTGAATACAGCACGGAAGTGTTTAAAGAGCCGTGTGATAAGCGA